CACTCAGTTTTCTGCGCTTCAGAAATTGACATATAATAATTTTAGTTTGCATGAAATGTCAGGAAATATTTTTAACGGGAGAAATTTCAGCCTTTCTTCGGACATCGTGGTGGCGGCGAAAGAGCGGAGCGCCGCTCACCTTTCCACTTTCATGGGATCGGAGGACACAGACAGCGAGGCAGTCGCAATTAGAAGAAATTCCTTAATATTGGCACCTAACGCTTGAGCATGCCAAGTCCATTTTTTTTGTTTAATGACTTTTTAAATTTCTTTGTACTATTTCTCGATTTCCCCTTGGTGTTGTGGCATTTTGGGGTACTAAATTTTCTTTTTTTTGGATTTTGAGGTTGTTTTCTGTTGTGACTGTACTATTTAGACTGGGCAAAACTGGAATCAGCAAAATTAGGATTTCATAGAATTCCTTTTAAGTAGAATGTGATCTCCATGAATATATCATGATTTTTTGCTGTTTTATATGATAAGTTAAAATAAATAACTTTCGGCCATTTCCAACAAAATGCATTTGCTCGTGTTTTTACGGCATCGTCTTGGTTGCTACTCATTTTATTTTGTATTTATTAATACAGCTGTCGAACTTATGCAAGAAATATCGGACTTTGCAAGTTTTTGAGCGGAAGTTTGCAGAGAGGAAATTTCATGTTGCTTCGCGCTTTTGCCGATCTTTATGTTCATGTGCTAATCGAAAAGTGCGGTTTCTGTATACCACTCGGTGAGAGGGTCCAGTCAGTTAGATTGGGTTAAAAAATCCCCGGGAAGGAGTTTTTGGACCTCGTTACTTTTGAGGGGGTTTCGGGATAAGAAATGTGTACGACTTAATGGACCGAAACATTTTTTACCAACTTTAATAATTCTTTACAACCCTTTCATCTTTTCATATTTTCTCCAAAACCTTAAATAGTGCTGATGGGATCAATTGGCAGGTTAGCTTATTTAATAAATAAATTTAGAAGAAAAAAAACAATGAGCTGAATGAGCGAGATATGAGTTAAAAGTATTCAAATGTTCTGGAAGAACGTTTAATGCAGAGGCAGTACGATGAAAACAGTAACAGGCGATGAAGATACTACAAACGACGAGATGAACAAAATCATAAGATTAAGCGAATCCAGTGAGTTCCCTTTCTTGAAATTTCGTTTCTTGTGTAGTTGAATTACTTTACTTTAATAGCGTCATTATTTAGCTGAGGTACAAGAGCTGCTACCATATATTTAAAACATGGAATGCAGAAAGCTTTTTGACTGCCAAAATTTAGTCAAGACGGTACAGAGTTTTAGCGGAAGAGCGTGAAATTTTGCTGGGGATCATGAAATTGCGTTACTGAATGAATAGATGATCTAGAAGATCCAGTGAAATGCGTTATCGGAACGTTTCTTCGGCATTTGTTCAGCTGGATCCCTTATTAGCTGCATGCAACAAATCTTTCTTCACGAATGATGAAAACCTAAACCACAGCGTGCTTCGGGAATGACATAGTTCTTTAATGAAAGTATGAAAATTATTAGAAACGAGCTTCTGCTTTTACTAATAATCATATATGCTATGAATGTATATTCAAGAATTGCCACTTTCCAGTTATCTGGAATTTATAAGGCAGGCAAAATGAAACGTTTATCAGTTTTTTGCATGTCTTACAGCCCGTCTAAAAGTGCCTCAGCGTGGTTCATAACTGGTCTGGCCAGTTAAAAAAATTATCAAGAATCTTGCTGCAAAAATTATCGAAGGCTCTGATCTAAGGTTTAAAGAAGTGTTTCCAAAGCCGCATCAAGAGAGGGGCGGCAACTGACCCGTTATTTGCGTTTATTTTTTCAGAAATTTTTTTTTTTTTTGCAACGATTTATTACCGGAAATCTGTGAATGATTAAATATTTGCAGCTTTTGAGATAGCGATCTCACGTTGCATGCAAGTTTTTGAAGCGGGCGGCCTAGTCGTTGTGCCAACGGACACCTTATATGGTGTGGTCACAACGATTGCGAATTCCGATAAGTTGTACAAGTTGAAACGCCGCAGCCGCTTGAAACCACTCGGTCTTTTTGTTAGCAACATGCGCGAAATTCAAAGGTTTGTTAATTTACTAAATTTCGTTTTCGTTGAAAGCGGCCCGAATGCTCCGTAAGATTGTAATTGAGGGCATTTGCTGTAACATAGTTGTTTTAATGTTACTTATTCTTTGGTTGAATTCTTGCTTTCGTATAAACTTTTATACAGTTTCGTAAACCGATGGGAAAATTTGGGCGATTGAACAAATTTGAGGGGTGTATGAATCGGGTAGGTAAAGTACTTCATTTTTGTCGCAGGAATGATAACGGAACGAAATAATGGTGCTTAAAGCACGTCAAGGAAATCGTGAAACTGTTAGAGTCCTACAAGTATTTTGGGGCAGTGGGGGGAGGGGGGGAGGGGTAGTCGTCGAGCTCATAATCAATCCCTCCAGGACGAGACAAACGACGGGGTTGGTGACAAACTTATGGTCAAACGCTCTAGCACTAGTTAAATTAATAAGGAAGTAAAGAAGAAATAGCACCAGTTTTGCGTAACCTCCAGTCGCCATGCAATGACAACGTCAATGGAATTGACAAGACAGTAAAAAGTGTTTTGGATTTTATGGTACTGAGAACTTACTGTTTTTAAATGGACGGTAGAAAGAGTGTGTTTGAACTGGTGTGTATGCGGAAAGCAAAAGAAGTAATTGACGGCAAAGTTGCCAGCTGTTTGGGTGAAGTTCGAGATTCAGTTAACATCGCTGTTCTGCAATTTTGGGCCGCTTCTAGGTTCAGGAAGTTCTCGTTTACAGAAGTTTATCGCATGTGATTGTGTTAGTAAATGGTTTTTCAGATGGTGCCATCAAACAGTTGAAAATAGTCATTTGCGTAAGTTGTTGCCCGGGCCAGTAACGCTAGTATTTGAACGTTCTTCACAGCTTCCGAAAGTGTTCAATCCGGATTATACGACAGTTGGTGTGCGGATTCCCGATCACGATTTTGTTCGTTCACTTATGACTCGGTTGGATGATGTCCCGCTTGCACAGACCAGTGCTAACATATCTAGCGTCCCGAAAAGCCCACTCTCCATTGAGGTTACTGAACTTTTCAAGTACTATTGTTGGATTTCTTTTCTAAGTGATTCTCTTAATTTGACTGTCATGTTTTCATTTTTCATGCTGTTTGTCTCATTAAGAAAAATTTCATGGTTTACCATACATAAACAGTATCTCATGTACTTATTTTTGACATTTTTTTGGGTATTTTTCAACGCTGATTGATTTATTGTAGTTGCCAGGCGGCGCTTTATTGGAACTGTCGTTGATTTGATTCTTTCACTGAAAAGCCATCTCCTTTCCAGTTCTTGATTTCTTTTGGTGAAGCATGCGTCTAAGAAGGAGGGAAGGGAGGAGGGGGAGAGAGGGGGAGAAAAAGTGCGAGTAGGAAGTCGAAGACACTATCGGCTTTCGCCTAGGAAAAAACCAGAAGAGGATCCTAGCTGGCAGCTTTGTCAGCAGTTGTTTACCATTGGCGACATGCTGTAATTTGTGCTTGTTCTGAATATTTTTACCTTTCGCAAAGAGTGCAGAATGGACGACAGAGGAGCAGAATTGGTTTTTGGTGGGGTACTGTTCAGCTTTATGAAATCCATCAGATTTTGAGTAACAAAGTTTTTGCAGGATTTTAAAGATTTATGGCCAGAATTGGATTTGATCATCGATGATGGCTTTATAACGCATTCAGATGGAAGTGTATACCACGAAGGTAGCACGATAGTGAATCTCAGCATTTCTGGCGTTTACAGCATAATACGGGATGGATGGTATGTTTTTGTACGTTTTTTGCTGTAACATTTGTACAAAACGCATATTTTCGAAACTCTGTATATGTGTATGTCCGTGTGTGTATTTGTGGTGTGTGTGATCCGAGTACATTTTATCCGGCGGTTTCAATTCGAGAACCGGAGAGGATAGGAAGCTAAGATTTTGAGGAGGGACTCTATACTCACATTGCAATCTCACAAACTCAAATTCGGCGTCTGTGCGCGCTTAGGCTTCACGTACGGTCATGTGGAATTTCTGGCGCCTGAATTAACTCGACAAGCACAGGAGACAGGAAGCTGAAATTTTAAGAGAATGTTCCTTGCCAGCAGTTGACTTCATGAAATTAAACTCACCCTCACCTGTGTATGGGTCTCACGTACGGGCACGTGAAAGTTTTGGCGCAAAAGTTGTTAACTCGAGAACCAGGAAAGCTAGGAAACTGAATTTTGAGTAGAATGTCCTTTCCCGCATGTGGCCATGTAGATTTAAATTCAGCGCCCGGCGTATCTAGATCTCACGTAAGGACACGTGAACTTTTTGAACGCCAAAATTAACAATTCGGAGATCATGGAAGCTAGGAAGCTAAAATTTCAGAATAATGCTCTTTACCCGCTTATAAATTCATTCACACGCGCGCCTAGGCCTCATTTACAAACAAGTTTTGACGCCAAAATTAATAGATCAGGGACGACAAACAGTAAAATTTTGGCAGTAAAGTTAGCATATAATATATTAAACAGTAATGCATCGGGCACTTTTAACAGCAAGGTTCACTTTTAACAGCAAGGCATTAACTGGATAGGCTTGCAAAAACGTTCCTGAACAGAATTGCACAAACGTTCGCTGAACAGGGTTGCACAGAACGCATGTTCGCACTGT